TACTGCACATGCCGGTACTTGCTGCATATTCCTAAATCAGACCTGTAGTAGCTACTGTTAAGCCCGGGATATGGGCTCGCGGATCCCGAGTCCGTGAAGTAAAGGTTGACTGTCGGTATATAAGGCTTATAGTACCCCCAAAAAAGTTCAAAGCGAAATTACTCTACTACCAAGAAGGTGTAACTGGAAGCTGTAAATAGGGTTCAGGATTCGGGCTTAGGGTCTAACTAGGGTTTTGTGTTCAGGGCGTGCGGCAGCTTCACCGAACCTTGAAAAGCCTGTGCCCGACATCGAAGCCACAACTCGAAACCCAAGGAAGGCTATCTCGACACCCATTGGGTAAAGCATCCCAGACTCCAACTCTCATTCCAAAACAGCCCCTGAATCGCCTGAACCTTCTCCCTGAACCCTGAGCACCCGAGAAGTCAACTTACTCTTCGAAAGTCTCAAACCCACGCCATGCATCCTATATTTCGGGGGGCAAATGTACTGGCCTTCCCTCATGATTGGAATAGGGTTTGGGGGGGTTGTTATCTGTCCTCGGCACGGCGCGATGCGAGATCCTCCAATGTTGCACACCAGACATCCCGGTACCTGGATGTAGGTTTCAGGTTCGGATTTGGGGGCCGCCCAAGCTTACACTGGCAAGAGCCCTCCACCCACAAGACCCCGGCGAGCCATACCGAACTTTTTGCCTATCCCTGGGAAGAGTTATTGGATTTCAGGCTTTCAAGACAGTCGGGTTGACGGCTTTCCAATTCAAGGCCAATCACCACTGGAGAAAAAACGGCAGACGGTTTCGGGTTTATGGGCATCAAGGTTTAGGCGCATCTAACCAGTGCCTACTTTACTATACGGCCCCTCCAAAGCCCCACAAGCCTTAAACCCCTGCACGAGACTGGCTCCTGAGCCATCGAACCGTACTACTAAATAACTGCATGCTTCCAAAAACCCGAACCCACAAAACAGAAGGATGCAAACGACATGAACCGGACAACAAAAGCACGAACCTGAACCTTAATTAAAACCTAAACCCCAAACTCTGAACCCTGAACCCTAAACACTTTAATTAGACGCTGTAAAACCAGGTCCGGGGAACCTTAATGGACTTGGCGACACACAGGCTGCATCCTCTCCTGGAATCGAAATCGCACCAGTATGAGGCTGTCGGAATTGGCGGGTTTCGAGTGTTGCTTGGGATGGCAGGGTTTGGTGTTGTGGTTGGGGGTTTGGGGTTGAGGGGTTTTTGGCTGTGGTTTTGGGGTTCGGTGCCTTGGTTGTATAGGGTTGAAGATCCAAGCAATCCAAGCATCTGGAGGTTGGGATTCTGGGCCATTGCTCGGGTTGAGGATTGCTGAGCCATGTTGCGGTCTTGTTGACAGAGGACTTTGGTTCAGTGCTCAGGATTTGAGATCGGGGGTAAGGGATCTAGAAGGGTTCCATGAAGGTTCTAGAAGTGACACGAGTTCTCATCATGAAGCTTCTACCGGAGTTTTCTACGAAGGCATTACCAGGGTTCTATAGTGGTTCTACAAGGGATCTATAAGGGCTGCGGGCTCTTCGGGTTGCTGTTTGGGGGTTCCTTCCATGGCCCTTCTGTGGATTTCCTGGAGGATTTTGGGGTTGTGGGTGTCAAGGTTTTAGAATTTGGGGTTTGTGTCATAGTTTGGGCTCTGGGATTCTAGGGTGGACTCCCAACTTCTCATCAAGACCCACAAAGACACCTAATTATAGTAATGTCCCTACAAAGGGGCTACACTATAGTGATAATTGGCTAGACTTCTGTAGTCGATGGTTAGGTCCTATTGTTCGGTGCTCTACTCAAACATACGACTAACCTATATAGACACTAATAAAAATGACTCTGGCCTATGTGCCCAAACCCACAAAGATCCTTGACAAAATCTCAATATTCACTCATTCACATTAAATTAGGGCTGAGGGCTTAGGGCTTATGGTTTAGGGTTTGGGGTTTAGGGCTTCGGGTTTAGGACTCACTTCTCTAAAGCTTTGACAGATGCAGTCTGGAAAAACTCGCGAGTGAGGCCTCCGCACGGACTCCATTCGGAGGTGACGAACCTCTGTGCACCGAGGTATGGGGCAGAAGATTCAGGCCAGTGGGGTCTTACTTCCAAGACTCCCTGACCCCACACTATAAACCCTCCCTAAACCCTAAGATCCCACATCCCGGAAGAAACCCCAAACCCTAACCCGAAACTTCGAGCAATCTCTTCCGCATGCCCGTAAGACAGAGTGGAGAGATTCCCAGCACTAATCGTCCTTCATCCATGCTCTAACCAGCTTTGGGTTTAGGCTGTATAGGGCTTTGCTCTAAAGTTGAAGGTCTTAGGCTGCGGTTTCGAGCTTCCCCTGCAAGAACCCTAATATCTCGAGATTTGCCCTGAAGCTCAGGGCTTAGGGCTTAGGGTTTGGGGATTCCTGAGAAGTCCTCTGCCACAAGGAGGACCGATCATGACTCGATGAACGATGAAAGTCGTTGAACCGCCGGCCTAGTGGCAAAGCGCAGGTGTGCGCACCCACATGCACACCCACACCCCCCACCCACTGACAGACAGGCAGACTGACACAAACAAACAGACCTTCATACATACGTGTACTTTTCCACCAAGAACATATTCTGCAGTCGCTGTGGGTGCAGGAGTCCTGACAAGCCCATAAACCTCAAACAATAATGTAGGGGCTTTAAAATTAGACTGGGGTGTTGGGGTTCCTTATTATATTTACAGTATAATAGACCCCAAAACCCATTTCTATCAAGGCCCTATAGTAACTCCTTCCAGGCAGCACCGACTGGACCGTCCGAGTGGAGGGGCGAGTCAGGCGCAAGGAGACCTGAGCAGGAACAGCTTACGGCATCTCTTGTCAACAAAACATCATAGACAGAAATACCGCTCTAGGGCTCTGTTGTTCTGGGGCTTCGAGTTGTTAAGGGATCCGGGGATCATCGCTTGCGTTTGATTACGGGGCATTCCTCTTACTGGTGTCACTCGGTTTACTTTGCGCTTGGATAAACTTGTAAGGATACATCTGCCTCATATTCTACACATGATACTGCAGGTGATGTGCAAAGAGCCTAAGTCGCTGTGTGTTGAAGCCTCGAGGGTTTCATGAGAGAAGCTTGGTGCGTGGGGCTGACTCAGAGACTCCAGAACCCCTTCAGTGAAGGAATATTCCTCAAATTCCATTAGAGTTCCTGCCAGAATTCCTTAGCTAAGTGGTTTTGGAGTGGGCACAGTCGGGCCCGAGCCGGACAGTTCCCACATGAGTCGCTGCAACCTATAATCACCCGAACGAGTTATGGGTCCCTAGACCCCATAAACCCTAAACCGTGGCCTACAAGCCCGCGAGCCTAAACTTAGGGCTTAGGGTTTAGAGTCTATAGGAGTTAGGGTTCAGGGTGCCTAAACCTGAGCTGAAGGTCAAGAGGCGTTCTGTCTTGAAATGAGGCCGAACGACTCCAGAACCTCGCCGGGCTCACGGTACATTGATAGTGTTACTGTTGTTGTTGGTGTTGTTG